AAAACCATAAACACAAACAATGATCCTGTATGTTATTCAACAAAAGCTAAAACACATCTCACAAATCAAAAGATATTCCATTCCACAAACATGCTGCACTCACCCACAGAACAATTGTAAAAAGAGCACATTGCACACTAAAAAAAATGCTTCAAAGGCAAAAAAGAGGGGAGTTGGTATATAGCCCCCAGGAATGCTTATGGAAAGCACCATATGTTCTAAATTTCTTAAACTGTGATGATACAAACCATAGCAGGTATGAATACCAACATAAAACTCAAATACTTTCATCTTCCAAAGCACCAGTTAGGATTCAAAATCTAATATCTAGGCAATGGTCAGGACCAGTAGATCTCAGAACTTGAGGGAGGATATATGCCTGTGTATCCAAGGGTACCAAATTACAAAGGATCTCTTCTAAATATGTCAGGCCTTATATTAGCCCTCCCTCACAACAGAAACAATCACCAGGAAAAATGAGTGAAGAAATTGGATTTGAAGAAACATAACCAACAATAGTAAAAGGAACACACCACACATTGAGAAACATGCTATAAAAACACAAAAAAGGGAGGGAAAGACATATGGGTTTGATCCCCATATGTGTAAATCTACATTAACACTTCTTCAAAACAGGAACAATCACAAAGAAGCAATAAATAAACAGAACCAAAACAAACACACAAACAGTAACCAATACAAAACCAAAACTCCATGATTCAAACACAATAAAGGGTTTAAGAATGCATGTGTTAGGAGAGAATGAAACAGTGGCCATCGGAATGTGAATAAGAAAGTTGAGTGGAGATATGTATGTGTGTGTGAATGCAAATACACTTTACAGCAAGACATCTTAAACACTCATTCAACAACACTACCTCCAACAACACTACTTCAAACACAACATCTACAACCCAACACATTTCCCTTTCAAATAAAGATGATGCCTTTACCCAATCACAAAATTACAAAATTATCCTCAGATAAAAGATTCTACACATCTACAAACCCTGGCTAATTCAAGGTTGCTTGAATATTGCACAAACCAATAAAGTTGTAAACAGCTCAATAAAGGCCTCGTGATGATAGGCCCTGGTTTTTATAAACAGTTAAGATAAAATTGGTTACATTAGGGATGTTTAAAAAATGTATCGTTTTACAATTTGTTAATTATTTAGAGACGGGGAGATGTGGCAAGGAATTATGGGAGTTGTAGTTTTCCACGTTCTCACGCATGCTCAATCAATACTTTATTGTCATTGTTTGGAAGATCATGTGACATGTTTAAGCGCTGTATTTAAACCAAACTGTTTTGTAATAAACCTTAATTCTGCCCTGGGACTTGATTGTGTCACCAGGGGGGTTTGTGCCTTATTCACCACCTTACTCACACTTCACATGAGATCTTCCCTCAAGACATCCCCTGCATGTGCTTTCCAAGTTCCCTCAGCTTTACCTCTGTGAAACTCTCAGTCCCCTCTGTGTTACCTCACCAAGGGTGACGGACTTCAAGAAGCTTTTTCCTCACTAACTCCACTGAAACCCCCTGCTGCCCCTGCTGCTCAACAATCCCTACCTCTGTAACAGCCCAAAATCTGCTCTAGGGCGACTCCACAACCTTTCATTGGGCTTCTCTAAAGCACCTTCCACCTGCTCCCGTCCCACAGACCGGGGGAGGAGCGGGACACCGAGGCTGGGGGGGGGGGGGGGGGGGCGGGAAAAGCAGCGCAGGAGCAGCGACCAACCCGCCCTGCTCTGTCCCACCCCTTCTCGTCTCCCTCAGGGCACCCTCAGGGCCCCTCGGTGACCCTTCGGAGCACCCTTTTCACCCTGTGTCCCTCACAGCCCCTAAAGGGACACAGGAGACACCCGCGTAGCCCTCGGGGCACCCTCTTCCCCCTCAGAGATCCTCAGGGACGCATCGGGCACCTACCTCCCCCCTCAGCAACATGTGGGAAACCTGCTGTCCCTCAGTGACACATGGCACATCCTCCTTCCCCTCATGGATACCGGGGGCACCGGCCTCCTTCTCTTGTGACCCTCAAAACCCCTCAGTGACATTCAGGACACCACATATTTCAACCCCCAAAATGTCCCCTACTCAACTTTTCCCTCCAAGATTTTCAGTCTGTCCCTCCCACTTTACCTGACAACTTCCCTCAAAACATCCCCTGCATGTGCTTTCCAAGTTCCCTCAGCTTTACCTCTCTGAAACTCTTAGTCCCCTTTGTCTTACCTTACTAAGGATGACGAAGTTCAAGAAGCTTTTTCCTCAATAACTCCACTGAAAGACCGTGCTGCCCTTCTGACACTGCTGCTCGACACTGTATTACGTCTGTAACAGCCCAAAATCTTCTCTAGAGCGACTCCACAACCTTTTATCGAGCTTCTCTAAAGCGCCTTTTACCTGCGCCCACCTCACGGACCGGGGAGTGGCGGGACACTGCGGCTGAGGGGGCTGAGGGGAGGGGGGGGGGGGGGGGGGGGGGGGGGGGGGGCGGAGGGGAGGGCGGAAAGGGCGGGAAAAGCAGCGCAGCCTCGGCGACCGGCCCGCCCTGCCCCGTCTCGTCTCCCTCAGGGCAGCCTCAGGGCCCCTCGGTGACCCTTAGGAGCACCCTTTTCGCCCTGTGTCCCTCACAGCCCCTAAAGGGACACAGGAGACACCCACGTAGCCCTCGGGGCACCCTCTTCCCCCTCAGAGACACACAGAACACCCACCTCTCCCTCAGTGATACAGGGGATACTCAGGTCCCTCTCAGTGAGTCACGCAGCCCGTCAGGAGTACACAAAGTACCCCCTCAGGGACACAGGTGGCACCCACTTTCCTGGAATTTTTTTTTTTTTTCAAATGATCAAGTTGGGATCATCCACACCTGAAAGTCCTTAAAAAAAAAAAAACACATGTGGCTGAGGCACTTCACACACACTAACCAGGTTTTGACATGAATTTTGGAATGCCCAGGAAATTACAGAAACATGAAACCTGTGAATAATTTAGGAGTATTTTTGAAGGACTTGTAGTTAAAGGGCCTGTTAACTTGATATGATCCAGGTGAAATAGAGGAAAAAGGCAAATGATTTCAGTGATAAAGAATTAAATTAATACAATTAATTTATAGAAAATAGGCCTAATTTAACTCTCTGAGAGATTACAGGTGTAATCCTACTGTGGAGATATCATATGCTTTAACTGTTAGCTTGTTAATCCAGCGAGCTCAATATGCTACTGCTCATTTAAAATAGCTGGCACCGTAGCACATACAGTCTGGAACTGATGGGTTAGAAAAATAATGCCAGTGAGAAATAATCATCCAGCGAGGCTCCTTAAAATTGTGTCTTCCAAAGGAAAGCACTCAAAGAAAAGTGATGCCAGTTTTATGCATCCCCTGGATTTAAATATAAAATCACCATGGACAAAATATGCAGATGACACAGAAATTTGACAGCAGGACAGATAATGATGCTGAAGTCACACAGAGTAACATGGATAGTTTGGTAAAGAGAATAAACCCGTGCAGTTAGCTGCTGTTTTAATATATTCACATGAAGAGCTGTATGTCTAAAAAATAAAATGTTAAAGTATGGAGGGGAGGACAGTATCCTTGAAAACAGCAACTTTGAAAAGTGCTTATAAATCATGTTGAACAACTGAGTCAACACACTGTTGAATGGTTTAGGATACAGGAATCTCTTCCCTGAGGTTAAAAAGCCTTTTAATACATAGTATGTTCTCTGTGTGTTAGTACTTCTCTGCTACAATCAAGTTACCTTTCAAACTCTTTTTTCATAAGCTTAGCGAATTGCATTCATTCTGTCCTTCACAGTAGGGCTTTTTTTCAAGCATTCAGATAATCTTTGTGGCTTTCTTCTTACACCATCTTCATTTCTTCCACTGTTAGAAACACTTGACACCTGACTTGTAAGCAATATTCTAGTACTGGCTTCATTAAAAAAATTGCCTTCCTATTCCTACACACTGCCTTCCTGAATAGATTTTAAAAGTCTTCTTAATCCTGTTTACCTCACACACACAACACACAACAAACTTTAAAAATTGTTTTTTAATCCAAGTTATTCTCACTAATCCACATAAATATTTTTGACACAATCTTCTTACAGCATCTGAGATCAACAGGACTGTTGCTGCCTTTCCTGCACTCACAGGACTTGTGGGTACAGACTGTGAGGACACATTCATGTTTAGTTATTGTGAAAGTGTCACATAAAGAAATGAGAAAGGCGTTAAATCACTGTACAAAGATTTAAACTGGAAGCTGGTAAGGTTTTAATAACACTCTGCTTGTGAATTATGCTTCCAATAACACATAAATGTATTAGGAAGCTTTAGCTGGTATAAAGCAGTTTCTTATGGTTTAATGTATTTGAAAAGAGAATGGCTGTACTTTGTAGTAACAGAAATACCAATTATGTGCCTAAATCTTAGTTTAATTCACTTAATGATAGCTGCAGTTAAGGCAAACACCAAGCTTAAATTCTTGCTCTTCAGTTTGTGAAAGCAGAGGACAATATTAATTCCCCATATTTATGGGAGTGCAGTAATGGAAGCCTCCAGCCCCCAGCAAGACCATGGTGGAGCAGACTTCTTCCTGAAGGACCACGGCCTGTGGAGAAGATCCATGGAGGGGCAGGGGAGAAGCATGAACTCTAGGTTGTGTAAGTGGAGAATGGCACAGGTGCTTGCTCTGTCATGAGCCATGGGAATTGTCCTTACAAGAATCCAGCCTGCTAAGCCCACCTTGTCTCAGCAGGTGAAAGCAACAGCAGCACCAGACATTTTGAGGATGGATTTGTGGCAGCCTTGTGTAAAAAGCTGCTCAGCCTTCAGGTTCTTCTTTTTTTTTACTGACTAATGAAGAGAGGACGATTCTTGCAGTACAATTACCACAATAAAGAGTTCTTTAAAAAAAAAAATCCCATGTTGTTATACTGGGTTCTAGCTACAGACTGTCCCTCTGAAAGAAAAATCAACACATTATGGAAAATTTGGAAGAAGGGTTATTTATTGTATTACAAGATTTTTACCTCATGTAAGTATTATTCTGTTAAAAAAGGCCTCATCACAACCCTAACTGAAGAGGAGCCATGACAGAGCCTGACAGCTCAGATTTGTCCTGACTGCTTCTTTTCTGATTTAAATAGCAGCCTCCAGACCCAGCCCCCATCCCTACATCTGCTTTAGCTGGAAGTGAGAACATCCAAAATTTACACAGACGGACCCCTTTTGGCCTCAGAACAGCTGCCAGCCCTTCAAAAGTCACCACTGTTCTGTTCCCACAGTTCCATCATTGAGAAGGCAACCACAATATTTCATGTATATTTAATACTAACATGAAATATTGATTAGCCTTTCCAGCTTTAAGTTCTGTTTAGCATTTTATCTCAAACCTCAGCTTGGCACCAAAAAAAACCCCCATACAACTGGAAAGATTTCAGTCCCTAAATCCAGGAAAACTACAGTCAAGTGAGTTGCTTCTTAAAATCACAATTAGATGTTTATTTGCATAATCACCACTCTTACACTCTAAATTATCTTTTCATTACAGCGATACAGGAACCTTTTAAGAGATGTTAAAGGATTTGAGCCTGCATTATCTCATCACTCTTATGCAACCTGTCAATAAATCAATGTGTGTATGGCTGGACATGCCTGGCATATCCTCCCTAGCTGTCTACCCCAAGAGTAAAACTCACTAACATTCTGGGCATTTCAGATCCCACACCTCAACCTGCAGTGCAACACAAAGCCCTCATACTGCAGCATCTCATCTCTAAAAACCCACAAGAGTGCAAACTGGACCCAGCCCAGCCCCCTGACCAAGCATACAGGCTTTGAGGCTATGCCTTGGGCATCCCTGCCTGCATGGAGAGCCTTGCCCTGATGATCAGGGTACCCACAGCCTCTGCCACCTGCACAAGGGACACGGGGGGGTGAACAAAAGCAAAAACTCAACCCACACAAAGGTGGAGGATGCACGTTGAGGCACAGCTGGAATTACACAGGAGGCATGAGTGGCACAGCACAGAGTCTGGGCCAGGGCACCCACTGCAGAACAGCAGCATGAGGAAAGAGCAAGAGTGCTTCAAGATGGGGACACACAACAGCTGGGGGAACAAGAGGTGTCCAAGGAAAGGCTAGAGCCAGCCTGCCACACCTGCACCCCGTGTCCTACCACAGGAGGAAGGGGCTGAACCTGAGCACACCATGCTCGTGGGCACCTCACCTGGGTACTGGCACTGGCAGATGGGGGACACAGCCTGCAACAGAGTCAGGCCCTCACCCACTCTAGTGGAAGCTCTGGAAGCTGCAAGCCAAACAAACAATCACACCTCAGTGCTCATCTGCACCAGAAATGATGCTTTAGTGTGCCAGCACCCTCCTTGCCAGGCATGTGGGCAGAGAAAAGTTAATCTTCAGTTCCTCTCCAAGGTGGACAAACAGCTTACATCCAGCTCAAAGGATTGGAATGTGTTGTTTAAAAAAATAATTTAAAAAGTTTACAGCTTGCAGTGTGAGGGGGAAAGGGCTTGTCTTCCACGGGCTCCAGCTACTTTCATCCACTCCCCACCAGACTTCTTTGAAGAAACAATGTGCTGATGCATTAAGAACCCCTCTGAATAATAGTCACACTTCTGTCTTCTACTATGACTCCCTCCAAAACTCTACCTTTCAAGCCCAGAAAAGAAAACCAAACCCCACTTAAAATATACATTTTGAAATCCTATTAAAACTGTTCTCTGCTATATTAACCACTGGCTAATCAACATCCTTTCCTGGCTTTAAGGACAGCAGCTGCCAAGAAGTGGCCTTCAACTCACTCACACAGCAGAGGTTTTGTTAGAGACATAACCCTGCAAGAGACAAGTTCCAGCTGGATGTTATGTCATGTTTTAAGATGTTAAACATTTTAAAACATACAAGTTACTTAAGCTTTAAACAAAGTGCTAAAATACAAAGACCAAAGTTTTTCCTTAATTAAGACAGTATATTAGATCTGCTTATCTCTGCTTTTGCTGAAACAGGTAACATTACAGCTCACTTCACATGTCCATAGCCATTATTCCCTATTTCACACTAAACTTCCACCTTATTAGTCAGACAGGTTTTTTCCAGGAGCAACTTTCATTTGAGCAAGCCTCATGTGTTTAAACAAGAGGAACTCTCACCAGTACCCATCTTCTCCCTAATGGAGTAACAGAACTTCACAATTCTTGTAGTTCCATAATTACAGGTATAAGATGTAGGAATTCCTCCTATCTTTAAACAGTGCCAGCTCATCTCAGAAGGTTAAAAAAAATAAAAATCACATCTTATGCAACAGACTAATAAAAACACTACATATCAGGATAACAGGCAATATGTAGCTGGCAGTTCTGCTTGTGGAGGAAGTTTTGCAAAGCCTCCTGGTGTCAAGAATCTGGAACACCCCAGCATGCTGTAAAGTAATAGCCCAGCTCCTTGCTTGCAGAAGAATCAAGTATGTATTCCAGATACTTAGCACTGCTTTCCCTTGTGTCAGCAGCTCCTGTGAACAGGTCCAATCCATCCAGACACCTTCCATCTCACAACAGTGGTATACTTGAAGAAAGGGACACAAGTTTCAGTCTATATATATAGAGGATTAAATGCAACTAGGCAGGCAGGATAGAACCATAGGGAGGTCCCTCAGAAACATCCTTGTTCAGTCATTTTGTTTGCTAGAGTTGCATCTGTGACACGGAAGTGCTTACTTAGGTCTGTGGGCTCAGAAAGGGGCTACAGAAGCCTTCTAAATTCCAGAAGCACGAGGTACAGATACTTCTATATATCCAGAGTCAGCTGAATGAAGCAAACAGCAAAAAAATTCCTTTGACTTTACCTATGTTATCAAATATACTCAATAGCAAGATCACTGCATCTCAGCAGTCTGTGCTGACACTTCACAGAAACCAGGAGAGTATTATCAGCTGCATTTCACATTCTCCTTCTCATCAGCATCTGAATAGGTGTGTAGTGAATCCTTTGGGGAGAAAGAAGAAATAAAAAAAAATGGAATAGATTTCTTTTGTGCCCACTTCCCCTTCATTCCTTACTGCAAGAGGAAGACCAAAGAATCCCAACCTATCCTTTCACCCACAGGGCCAGGTAGTGTTATACAATCCCAAAACTAGTGTAGATATTTTACCACCAAGAGCTGCCCTGCCACATGCTCTCTCTGCAGTTTCATCCCTCCTGCCACTACAAGTTTTAATTTGAATGGTCTTGCTTAGAAAGAAAAAGAAGCATCTCAGTGCCAACATCTCTCATCTTGGTAGCACAAAGCAAGCTTTGCTAGCATGAGGTTTTTCTTTACCTGGGTTAAAAGCTGATGACGTCTCAGCTGTCTATAGAACTGCAGCACAGAAGGATCAGCTCTCACCACTTTTGGGTCAAAATCCAGAACACGGAGACCTGCAAGGCTACGGGCTCGGGAGAGGGCTACATAAGCCTGCCCACTTTCAAAGACACGAGACAGGGAGATTTCCACACAATCTAAAGACATGCCCTGCCAAAGACACAGAGAACTTTGTTACAGAACAAACAAACAAACAACACTGTGCTGTACCAACACTAACCTGTGAGTCTGTCAAAGGTACTGTTCCTGGTATAAGGGCTTGATTAAAAAAAAAAACAAAACAAAACAAAGAAGTCTTTTGTTTTACTGTGTAACTGATTAAAAGATGAGAATCAGAAAGGAAAGGCAGTTTCCCACTGTCAGTAAATTGCTAGGAGATAGTAGGGTCCACTAACTCCAGAGAACCTCTTGTTGCATGAAACTCCATAAATCCCATCTAATCAACACAGCAGGGAAAGAAATCCTGCTGGTTTCACTCCTAGTAGTTACTAGAGCAGTCACCATTCTCAAGCAGTCCTCAGGCAGACCACAGAGTTTGGGTTAGGCCTGTCTGCAGGGCTGTCCTGGGCACAGCAGAATTTACAACTTAGCCTGGTTTAAACAGTGGCACAGGAACAATAAACAGTGGCATGGGAACAAACTCACAGGTCTCCAAGACCAGTATTTATCAAAGTGTATGAAGTCTTCTGGAAGGGAAGGAACTTTGAGAAAGTTACACTGTTACATTGAAAAAAACCAAACACGCACCACCAAAGAGCGAGTCCAGCCCAAAGAGCACAGCTGTGGCTCTGGCAGCTGCCTCAGTTACACTGCAAACCTCAGGGCCTCTAGTGCTGATGACTCTCAAGGAAACACTGCTCTCATCAGCCCACAGTAGTAAATAATGCTGCTTTATAGTCCAACACCAACTGTGCAGATGGCAGCACCACTATGGAAACTCCAGCAGTGTATCTAGTCCATCTGTGACCTATAGACAGGCATCATGAGCAGAAGAGGTGCAGCTAAACACACATATTCTGGAGTTCCCCCCAGCAAGAGCCTTTCATCTTTCCCTCCTGTTTTACCAGCAATGCAAGCTCACCCAGGAAATAAGGCTTATTAGACTGCTGTATAAGAACACCCACCTGACTCTTGTGAATGGAAATGGCCCATGCCAATTTTAAAGGCAGCTGCTGACGACTCAGGTGAACTCCTGATGGTCCTTTGAAGACCCATTTCTCCTTTCTTATGACCTGTGTGACCCCACAGAGAAACCTCACCTTAGGCAGCCCTGTAGGAATGGGAGCAGGAGAGAAACAGGGATGTATTCCTGACACTCAACAGCCAGGAAGCCAGCAGCCTAAGAACACTTTTTTTTCCCCCTCCTAACCCAAACTTAAACCCACAGACAGTAAATAGCATGTACTGAAATGATGTTTGGCACCTACTTAAGGCAGGAGAATTAAAGTCAGGTAATTTATCAGCTGAGATGCAGAGAAAAATACACATTGCAAGTAGCAGAACATTATTCTTTGAGAAAAAACAAACAAAAACTTGCTTGAACAAAACAAACAGGAAATGCAAATGAGCACCCACATCTAGACAATACAGAAAAGCAAACACAAGAGGCCCATAGATAGCTACAGCTGATGCAGTGCATGACATCACAGCTGGTGAGGGCCCCAAGCCTGCAGAGATCTCCTCCCTGCTTTCCCTCTAATTATTCTTACCAGGCAGTAAACAAAGTTGAGAAGTCATCAGCCATCAATGAAAAATTGTTTTGTTATTTTTCCCTCTTCCTTCAACAAGAGATCAAGAAGCTCACTTACCCTTCTGTTCACTTTCAAATCCTACAACAACGCCTCGTGCCCCATTCACCAACCCTTGAGACACATCCAGATTCTTCGCCAGCATCACCTACAGAAAAAAAGAAAAATCCTTCAGTGCACTGGGTTACAGCCTGTTCAGCCACCTGCACCTAAACTTCTTTCCAGGAACCATAAGCACAGCAGGCTGATATGGCCACATCATCCTATCCTGCCTATTGCAGTACAGAGCACCATCTCCAACTGAAATTGTTTCACAGCCTTTCCTTCCTAGGATTCCCAGCTATTTTACAGCATTGAACACTTCACTTGAGCTGCTTCTGTCCACAGCTGTGAGCTACCTGTGCTCTCTGCTACTGAAAGCTTCTAAACCTGATTGGAAAAGTGTGTCAAAGTCACAGCAATCACCATTGTCCCCAAGACATGGACTGCACTCGAATCAAACTCATTTTCTGTTTGGATAAGATTCCAAGCAGAGAAGATATAAAAGATTGGAATAGAACCTTCTGTTGGCCTGGCATAGACATTCTATATTGAATCTGCATTCTGTATATTAATCTACTCTATATATTTATCTGATATTCCTTTATTTTTCTTATACCATTTGATCTGCTGTTCTATCCCATGTGTATGTACATACACTTACTTGAGCTCCAAGCTTCAGCTCAACTCTACCACCCACAGGACACTGAGCATCAATTAACTTCACTAGCATTGGGTCACTGTCCAGAGCCTCAAACACGTGCAATTCTCCTGTTAAGGAAAGAAAGACATAACAAATTGCAGCTGTTGAACACATTATACACAGCATGGCAGGAGGCTCAGTATTTATTTCTAATAGCAATTCCTCTTTTAATATCCATTCTGCTCTGCTGCTAGGACATCTTCACACAAACCTTGTCACATCTAACAACAGGGAGCTCACTATTGCCTCTCTTCCCAACAGAATTTGCAGAGCATAAAAAGGCACAGGAATCAAAGGCCAGCAGTAAATAAGTACTGAGCAGCCAGCATTTTGAGCATATGACCAGTTTCATTTGCTGCCAACACCAGATTGCTAAAAGAAGCATCCAACAGCCAGAAAGGGAGGCAAAAACTGAGAAAGCTCTTAATAAGATGCTATAGAAAGAAAAAGCAGAGGTGTGGAGGCAATAAATGACCAACCCTGTTTCATAGCAATCAATGAGTTTGCTGTCTATTACACATCAAGAAGTGACACTGAATATTTAAGCAAGAAACTGAAGTTTTTCCCCAGGCATCCCAACTCCAACACACAGAGCTTCGACTGGTGCTGCTCTGCATGACAGAACACTAGTTCTTCCTGACACCACAGTATCCCTGCTGCATCCACTCAGAGCTCAGCCCCAGAGCCAGCAGTTTCCTCCAGGGAGTTCACCTGACAGCTGTTGCAAGCGTCTCTCATTAGTTATTTCGACATCATCTTTATGGGTGCAGAGCCGTGTAGCCAGGATCCCATCACGCTCAGACCTGTTGGTAGCTGTCTGCATCAGCTGCCTGGTAACCTCCTCTGTGCACCTGGCAAATAGGAAAAGGGAGTCATTCTTTAAAGTGATCAGGAACAGGTCTTGAGCAGCAGTAACCTTCACACAGTTGGATCTGTCTGTGCAAGCTGCAGGCCTCCAGAGAGGACAGAGAAAGATAGATAAAAGCTAGAGAGCAGTGCCAATGTGAGTGCCCCAGCCACTGCCAGCTCAGGCTCCATTGAATTAACTCACAGAAATTAAAGAGGAACCTTAGAAAGTGTCCTTCCTTACCAGAGCAGGATATATGAAATCCGCCTATGTTAACTAAAGCATTTATAGCTTTTGCCCCCAGCTACATATTCCTGATAGAGCCCAGAAAAGTAACAAACTGCTCTTTCTTCTGCTCCGTAGATGGGGAGCAGAGATTACAAAGAGATGAGTTTCTCCTCACCTGCCTAAACGGATTGCACTCAGGAGTGAGACAAAGGCCTTGTCAGTCTGTCGCCGCACTTCAGTCAGCTCCATGTTTATGTGGATACATTTCCTCCAGCTTTTTGCCTAGAAAAATCATTCTCTGCTTAAGAAAGAGGCAGACTTGAAGTATGAGAATGAGTTTAAGGGCAGTTTTGTACCTGGAAGCAGAACTTGGTTTCTTCATTAGCCTTGCAAACTGGAGGTAGCTGCAAGAAGTCTCCACAGATGATCAGCTGAATTCCCCCAAAAGGCTCATCCCGTTTTCTGACTACTCTGAAAGAGATGGAAGAGAGAAGTTTTGGATGTCCTCCAGAACCTGGACATACTCAGATCTCAGAAGTTACTTTTTAATCTGTTGGGATATTCAAATATACACTACCTGCATTTAAAAGATATTTATCCTCAGCTGAATCAGAAGAGCTCAAACAATTAAGCAATGGTAAGACATTAAATTTGCTTTGCTTACCCACCCCAGATGCCATTACCAATCTTTCTTTGGTGGCTGTTATGCTACAGCTGCTTCTCTCTGCAAGAGAGAACTTCTGGGAACAGCTGTATTCTGGACTCAGCTCTGTAGACAGCACTTAGCTCAGGAGATGGAAAGAGCAACCAGAACAGCCACAGCCATGAGTGAGGAGGGGACATGATCAAAACCTATCTCACGATAAAGATCTGCCCAGATGCTATGATTCCATGCTTCCTTGCAGTCCTATGCCAGCAGCTGCCTTGTATCAATTCACAAAACCAGAGGAAGGAAGCAGCCTGGAAATTTAGGAAAATCCATTTCAGTCAGTTGTTTGACCTGACATTTGCTCACCTTGCCACTGCCTCCAGCCTGTCAAAGAACTTTCCATCTACCATTGAGATCTCATCGATGATCAGGTGCTGGCAGGCCAGCCAGTGCTGGCGCACCCCCGGCCTCTCCGCCAGCTGAATGCACTGTTCCAGCGGTGCCTTCCCAGAGCCGATCCCTGGCAGGGGAGAAGAAAGCAAAGCTTTGGGAAGCTCCTGATTCATTGGGAAGGGAATGAAAGCTCCCAGCCCCTCGCTGTCGGGCAGGCATTACCTGCAAAGGCATGGAGAGTGGTGCCACCGATGTGGCAAGCGGCTACTCCAGTGCTGGCTGTGGCATAGGTGACGTTCGGAGGGAGGGAGCCCACGATTCTCTTCAGCAGGAAGGACTTCCCAGTCCCTTCGAGGACAGAGAAGCAACAGGTCAGCGGCGAGGCCCGAGGGCTTTCCCCGGCGAGAGCCGCCGGGCGCCCTCACCTGCGCAGCCGGTGAAGAAGATGCTCTTCCCGCTCCGCACGGCTCCCAGCACCGCCTCCTGCTCCGCCGACAGCCGCACCGGGGGCCGCCTCTCGGTGCGGGGCACCTGCGGGACAGACAGGCTGTAAGGGCAGCGCCGGAACCCGGGGCCGGTACCGGGGCCGCCCCTCGCCCCGGGACTCACCTCGGCGGGGCGCTCCCCCCGCCCCTCCCCGCAGCCGCGGCGGGGGCCGGGGTTGCTCAGCAGGTCCCGCTCCTGCACCGGGCTGATCACGGCGAAGGACGCCGGCGGCCGCTCCAGCAGGCGCGGGGGGCGCGCTGGGCCCCGCGACCCGGCGGCCACCTTGAGCCGCAGGAGGCGGAGGAAGCGGCGCAGCGCGTCCGGGGGGCAGTCGGAGAGCAGGACCTGCGCGCCGCCCGGGCCCACCCGCACCGCCGACCGCCCCTCGCCCGCGAACCGCGTGAAGAGCCGCACAGCGTCCCCGCTCAGCGCGAAGCTCAGCACCGCGGCCGCCGCGCCGCTGCCGCCCACCACCCGCAGCACGGGCTGGCGCAGCTCGTTGCGGCCCAGCAGCACGGTGGCGTCCCGCAGGACGCGGCGGCGCGGGCCGCAGCCCCCCGGCAGCGGCTCCTCCACGGTCGCCGTGCAGCGCAACTGCGCCGCCTCCATCGCCCCGCCGGCCGTTTGAACGCGCCGCGTGCGCCGCCGCCAATCGGCGCCCGGGGGATTTAACCCGACGGCCAATGGGAGGCTGGAAGGCGAGCGGGCCAATGGGCGGCCCCGCGGGCCTCACGTGAGGCGTTGCCAGGCAGCGGGACGCGGGGCCGGCGCGGCCATGGCCGCCCGCGGCGGGCAGCGGGAGCGGGAGCGGCCGGACGCGGTGCAGCTGGACCGGCTCCTGAGCGAGCGGGTGCACAAAGAGATGCGGCACCAGAAGCTGTACACGCAGTACACCGTGAACCCGCTCCAACCCGGTGAGGCGGGGGCGGGCCCGCAGCGCTCAGCTGCGCGGCGGGGACAGGCAGCTGCACCCAGGAACGGCAGCAGCGGCCAGGGACAGGGGTAGAGCTGGAAGGAGCAACCGGTGGGCCTTTCTTTCGCCTGAGGAGCCGGTCTGCACACTCAGAGGCGGCAAGGAGACATGCCCCGAATAGCCTTTAGTAACCCTGGAGAAGTGAGGCAACTATTTAGGATGCGGAACCTACAAATCCTGAGCAAATATAGAGCTAAGATGGGGTAGAGAGGCCTAATCGCTACACCACATTCCTTCAGCCCCTGGACCTTCTACCTGCCAATTGAGAGTCACAGAATATCACAGTCTGTGCTGGCATAGACAGGTGATGGGAGTAGATTCATTCAGGTCTAGCTTTTACAGTAAAACAAAAACCAAAGGAAAATAATTTCCTGAGACTTGGCACTTGCAGGCCACCACTTGGGTGGGGTGGGACTTTGGTGTGGTGAACACAGGCAGCATTCACTAGAAGGGCCTTTAGCATGCTTAAGCCCCTTGCCTTCCTAGGAAATTGCCATTAATCAGTATTTTTAACTCATTTTCTGCTATTCACATGCCATTCTTCCTTTACAGCTTCAGTGAACTAGCTGGGTCCACACTGGGGAATAACCAAAAAGAACATCTGGAGTGATACATATTCTGTACCTGGCTGTGATGCTAAATTCATGTTATTCACCTGCATCATTTCTTTCCAGTTTACACAGTCACCAGGAAGCCAATGTCTTGGCATGACAACATAGACGAGCCAACAGATGGTAAGAAATCTCTGAAAAATCTTTTTTTTTCAAAATTACCTAAGAAAATTACTAATAAATAAGATTTAATAATTCCAATCAGTCTAAAATATCATGTCTGTGGAAACACCTCTGTGACCATACAAGAAAATTAAAACTCATTCATGATTTTTGTTAAATGTGAAGCAGGTTTTATTCCACTTTAAGGCCCTTTCCCATTACTTTCTATTATCAGCAAAAGTTTGCATTTGTGCAATTGTGCTATTTGGTTTTAGTTAAAAACTATATTACAAAATATATAAAATTCTTTATATTCATATTATAAAATTTTGCTTGAGAATCTAAACCTCCCCAAAACAACTGGAAACATGATCTACACATACATGTTTGCCTGTCACTGCAGATTCTACTTAACCACCACACATAGTAAACTGCTGAAATGACTGTCCAGTCTTGCTTTAGAGCACTGGTAACAAGAACCCTTATAGCAGTTGCTCCCTTATTTCTAACATGCTAATTTTGTCTAAAAACCTTAATGCTCAGGTAAGAATTAACAGGACGGTATCACCAGGCAAATCTTGAAACTGCATCAGGAAATACTGAAGTAGAAACGTCACCCTGCATTCTCTGACACTGTAATTCACAGAAGCACAGAGGTTGCTTTTATCCTTGGCTTTCTTGCTATGGCTTGGACAGCATTAAGTTGTCCCATTCTAACACACATCCACAGGTGAGTGATTTTTAAATTTTTAAATACTTTCATTTGTATTTGTGTCTCTTAATCCAACAGATGAGCTCCTGAAACTTTTTCACCGCGCGGCACTGCAGCCAAGACAGAAATATTCAGAGCCACAAACTGAAAGCCAAGAAATTGGCTGGAACACAACACCTCTGGTGAGTAGGACTCAGGTCTTTGCAGGATTCTTTAGCCCACCACTGAAAGATACTCATGCAAGAAAATAATTTGTGACAAACATGGAAAACAGGAATGACTAGGGGTGAGCAGAGCTGTTCATAACCAGTTTTTAAAACTTAGACCTAAGAGGACTCTTCACACTGGCATAGGCTTGTGAACACAGAAACAGCAGACTTCCCCTGAGAAACCTGAATGCAAAATATGTACAGTAACAATGGACCCCAAGCACAGTGCCAAATTCCACGTGTGTACTCACTGTTTACTAAAGCCTTCAGCCTTGAGAAATGGTGTAGTGAGCAACGTGAAGTGACATATGTAAGTACTGTGAAAAGAAATCTGCTGCTGCACAGTATCTTTCAAACAAAGTGCAAGCAGAACCATGAAATTAATAATCATATAAGTATACCCAGTGAGGATTCATCTGGGGAAGCGTGACTAAATAGGAGGTAAAGAAGTATGATTAACAAGCTGAGACATCAATCATACCTGACAAACAAATAGCTGTGATGATGGCTGACTTTATAGATTAGTGTTTTGAGAAAGGCAAGTGAGGATCTGATTAATTTTGGCCTGTTACAAAGAAAACTAAGACAAATAAGAAAATAAGACAGTTTTCCTCAACTTTTCATATTATACATCAAGTAAACTAGTTACTCCTGACAAGGGTAGAGACAGACATGCCAGCTGGGCTTTATGGTGTTAAAATAGTGCTAGAAGGATTAGACTGGCAGGAAAGAGGCAACTAAATGTGCATGAAGGGAAGCAAGTTCAATTTATAGGGTCAGGGCTCATAATGCTGTTCATTTGTTAATCTTGCCCTTTTCACCATATTCTACCATAATGAAGCAGTTCTACCATAACACTATGGTGGTACCCTGCTCGTTTTTCACTTGGACATTTCTCAGCAGCAAGAACACCATGCATCACTCTTCCCAGGAGGGGCTGCTAATATCAATTTTAGCAAAAGCACATGACTATTTGTCATTTTTCTTTCTCAGATTCCTGTGGACCGTAATGATTGCAGACTCCACTTCCCACGCCGGAAAACCGAGTTCACTACATAAATGGCTGCCCTGGGGCATGGGGAGGAGGAGAGTAAGAACCTTCAGTAGTAGAGGGGGAAAGCTACTCAGATAGACTGTTAATGACATCTAATGTGTTAGGCCTGCTTGTTAATAGGCAAATCTGGTAGACTTCTAGTAAGAGACAACAGAAAAGGGAAGAGAGAAGCTCAGTCTGTCCAGATTTGCAGCCTGACAATACTGACAGAAATAAATTTATAAGACTGCTGTATTCGTCTCATTGCTGTTTCTAAACCCATCTATATGAACAGTCTAAAAAACCACTCTAACATCTTGACAGGCTTCAGACTTCTTATTTTGACATCAGCAACATGACCCAGAACTCGAGGTCTCAAACCTCACATCAGCAGTAGTGGTGAAAAAAGCTGTCAGAATGAAGGAGACAAAGGGCAGGCTCTAGCTGCCATTCATAAAACAGCTAAACATGAGTTACACATAGTTCTGTGCAAACCATTTAATGCATTCACACACCAAAGGTTTACGTAGAAAACAATCCTTCAACAAAACAGGATGAAGAAATTAGTGATAAGGCACTAGTTTCCACTGACTCTTTTCCATGCCACTTGGAAGCATCCAGCTTGCTCCATGGTTAGCTGCTTGATGCCAGCAGAAGCACATCTTGCAACACACAGACACACAAGAACCCCAGTGGGAAGCACAGTCCTCTTAGCGCGCTCGGTTCTTCATTTTCTGCCTTGCTCTCTTTCCAGGTCTCTTCTGCAACAAACAGACAGATTGAGATCTTTATTTTCGTGTTCTCAATATTTGTTCTATTTCTATAGCTTGGGGAGGATACCAAGGAGAGAGTATTTGTCAGTACATCTGGAGAGGGAGGTTTTAGCACACAGGTAGCAAGTGGTATTAACTCCCCTGCTAATTTCCCTGCTGATAACAAACCACTATCCTCAGCTCTGTCAGCAACCCAATTATGCTCAGCTCCCAAAGACAGCCATTATCACTTCCCGATGCTGTAGGCACCCATCATGTATTCAGCTCTCCCTCCCAGATGAGGGCTGCCTTCTCAGCCAACCAGGAGTGTTTGCATACAACATTTTACTTACATTGAGGGCTTTCTTCCCTCCTTTTCTTGCTTTTCCTGGGCCTTTGTTGTGAGCCACTTTTGACTGGAAGCTGGATACATCATTAAAACTTTCCTTTGTGTTCCACTTTGAGCCTTTCTTCTTCCCACCAAAACCAAACTTCTGATTTTTGTATCGTCTTTTGGCATTTGGTCTGAAAAACAACCAAACAGCATAATTGCCCTACATTCCTTTCCTCAGGAAGCTCTCAAGGCACAGGTATGCGCTCATAGACTCCCAACAGCCATCATAAACCTTTTCCCCCATAACAAAGACGTAGAAATTAGCACATTTCAGTCTCCATGCCATTCTGGCCAGTTTTATTTCGCTCTAGGGACAGAAAGCCACCTTGGACTTATTTTAACAAACACTCATCAGAACAGCTTTCATGCTCCCAAACTTATCCCCCCCTAAGACAGAAAAGAATCAGACATTGTTTAAACATCTTTCATTTCCAGCCTCACCCTTTCTTTGTCCTTTGACTTGCACTGCCTTTTTTATTCCCCTGAGACGATGTCTGCTCATCATCTAGAAAGTCCAGCTTGTCAGACAGACCTGCAAGAGCGAAGACATCACAGCTCAGAAAAAGCAAATTTTCAGTCTAAGCAAGTAATAGCAACAAGTCACCCTCACTGAAGAACAGCTGTTCGGGAGGCTTTTCACCGGCACTGGCACATGGTTCTTTCTGCACAGCAGCCTCCCAAGCTCAAGGCCCAGAACTACAGATGTAGTGACCACCCATCACACTGCCTTACATTGCTCACACACCACTGCTGCCATCACACATTTGCTCTCTTAGTCAAGTTAACTTTACCTTTCTGGTATTTCTTGACTGCATTCAACATATTTTTTTTCTCCTTCTGTCTCCTCTGCAGAATCTCAGTTTGCACCTGTGGTTAGAAGCAGAATGTTAGTTTTGTTCCTTGCAGTGTCCTATAATTCTTTTTTAAGCTATTTTTTTTAAGGTATCCTATCTTTAGCTCCGTTTTCCTTCAGAGCAGCTAGACAGAAGACTAGACAAATTCTATATATTTTAGCCAGACTCTGGTGGTCTCACTTTCCAAGCTGCTCACTCAGGCTCTAGATTCTTGTCACAGATTGTAGCTCCCTTTTGTAGCTCCTCACCTTCTTGCCATATTTTCTCATTGCACGGAGCTGTTTTGCTTTCTCAGACCTTTCCATTGCTTCCTGTTTACTCTTAAGCTTCTGTCGAATCTTATTAGGGGATAGAAAAAACAAAATTTATGAGTAACACAAAAGAAAATAAGAGAATTTGACGATTGCTTAACAGTCCTTAAGTCAGTATTTGTGAAATATATATGTGTGTAAAAAATCATCTCTCAATCAGATCATGCTTATAAGGCATAACATCCTTTCAGATCAAGGCTAAAACAGTTATTACAGAAACTCCTGAACTGATCTGTAGCCAAAACCTGGTTGAAAAGACAATACTCAAACAGAGACAAGACAAAGCCTTATAATGGGCTCTAATGGAACCGAGATTATCTTGTCAGTCTACTCGGGTGCATGAAAAAGATTTGATAGTTTCTGTCTTGTCATTACTAAAAGCAAAGCACTGAAAAAGAGTCAATAATCCTGTGCCACAGAAAACATCTTTTCCATTCCCTCCTTGATCACATTTTTATAAGGATGCCACATTACAAAGGATTACAAGGATTTCAACACAGATCTTCTGGATTCAGTCTGTGACTCCACTAGGAGATAGAAACTCTGCTCTTCAGACAAAGTCAACAAAAAAAGAACAGTAATGAGCAGAATTGACTTAAGCCTTAGCACAAGCCACTTATTACTCTTCATCTTCTCTAGAAAGGTTCTATCAAACACCAAAACAAGTCATACATAATCTCCAAATTAGACTCCAGCTCATGGTTTTTTAACTTATACAATGTAGGTTTTTTTACAAATCTAAACCAAAAAATAGAGTTCCCTTTTGAGCAAAGACTACAGTAAAACGCAAGCTCACAAAAGTCTTACTTCCTACACAAATCTGACTTTCTATCCAAGAGAGATTAATTCAATAACAGACAGTCTAAAATTACACTGACTATAAACAAAGGGTGATAAATAGGAAAAAAAGGATCGTGTAAAAGACACAGCCAACTGCAAGTCTTATGACAAAGAGCAAAAACACAGCCAACTTTACAACCACTCACACTGAGAAAAATTCTCCATTTTTAATATTAAACACATTCAGGACAAAGTATACATAGGGTTTTCTACTTTATGTTTCAACCTGTTACAGAAATGCCCACATTGCACTGAAACACCTAAACAGAAAGAAATCTCCTGTCACAAATGAAATTTTGAACACCCCAACACATTACACAAGAAAGAAAAACATCGCACATACCTTCTGCATCTGTTGGTCTGATTTGGCCATCTCTGCAAAGTAATCATCCGGCCTCCTGGTCGGAACCTGGAGCTTCCGCAGCCTAGGAAGGGCTTCCAGGACAGCTGCCTGAGCCTGCCGGTAGCTGGGAGAGAGCACAGCACCAGCTCTGTCACTGCACCAGCTCTGTCACTGCACGTCAGGCATCCCACAGCACTGACAGAAACTCTGAGCGCACCAGCTAGGAGATACTGGGATCTAACAAGCATTGCTCTAGAATTATATCAACATTCTGTGCACATACAGTGCTACTGAAAGCAGTTTAGGTGACAGTACAATATTAAGACTTGTATCTTACACAAATGCACTTATTGCCAGCTACAGTTTAATATGTTGGAATATAAAAGGCATAGCAAAGCAAAAGAACTGTAAGAACACCAAATCAAACCCACAAAGAAAAATCAGTATCTTGTATTACAGCCTTAGTGCTGCTACCAAGGCACTTTTAAAATATACTTTTCAGCAAAGGATGAAAGTCTGCAGAGAGGAGGGAAATTTTTTATTTTCAGTCACAAGGCAAGTTAAATATACTAGCATTAATTTGTAGTTATTTTGGAAAACATTGAGCGCCATCAAATCTTAAATAACACGGCCCAAGAGTGCCAGTGACAGGCACTGGTGAAATGCAACTACAAGCACGCAGCAGCACGCTGAGACCCTACATGAAACCTCTTTTTTGACACTTACAAGCTCATCTCTCTCTGGAAATCATTCTCAGGGTCAACAGCATCTGTGTTAGAAGCGCTCTGGGCGACGGGGTCCACGACAGGGCCCAGAGTCACGTCCAGCCTTTCCACCCACGCGAGCTCCTTCCCGAATTCGGCCAGGCACTGCTTTAGGCCGTCCTGCGAGAGAAGCACAGCTCTGCACGGCCCCGCACGGCTGGCCCGGCTCAGGCTCGGCTCACACCGCGGGCGGCTCCCGGGAGGCACCGCAAACCCGCGCCGCAGCCCTCCCTGCCCCGCAGCCCCGCTCACCGCGTCGTTGCGCCGCTTCGGCCGCTCCTCCAGCACCACGTTGAGCCCCGGCTTCAGCTCCCCCCTCGCGAAGGCCTCCTGGAGCTGTGAGACGGGCACGGTCAGGCCGCGGCTGCCGGGGGAGACCCCGCCGCCCACCGCGGCCCCGGTCTCACCTCCGAGTCCGAGAGCGAGGAGTCCTCGGAGTCCGACCCGAGGTCCGAGAAGGACCCGCGCCGCGCCATCGCCATCGCCGCCTCTACCACAGCCACCGCCCCTTCCGCCCGCGTGCGCCGCCGCTTCCGGTCGCGGCAGGGCCCGGTCACCAGGGCGACGGGGCAGCGGGGCCATGGCGGCCGCCGTGCTGCCCGTGGCCGTGTTCGGCTGCCGGCCGCGGGTGGCCGGCGGCGTTTGCTTCCTGGAGGAGCGGGTGGTGCTGCACGCGGCCGGGGCAGGGTGCCTGCGGCTGCACCTCGAGCACAAGTGGCACAACTTCATCCCAGGTGCCACCGACCCCCCGGCCCCCCCGGCCCCGGCCCCCCCGGCCCCGCGGCCCGCCCTGACCGCTCTCCTCCCCGCAGGCACCGAGAAGAGCCGGGGCGTGCAGGCGCTGGCCGTCAGCCCCAACCGGCGGTTCCTGGCGGTGTCGGAGGCGGCGGGGGAGCAGCCGGTGCTGGCGGTGTACGAGTTGTCTGCGGAGCGGGCGCGGCGCCGGAGGGCGCTGGCTACCGCCGAGCTGCCGGCGCGGCAGGCCGTGTCCCTCG